TCATTAGGGTAGATAGCAAATCCTGAGAAGGCTCAATTCGGTTGCCTTTCAATTTTTGATTTTGTCAACCAATAGCCCAGGGCTAATTAAAGAAGAAGCCCCTATTTGTCCTCAGATTTAAGTAGAAAGAAAAAGTAGAATAAAATGTAACATAAAGTCTTTCAGTACACACAGCTAGTTTGTGTAAGTGGTGAAGTTAAATATTTTCCTGAGCTAACCTAGATTTGTGTGCTAGGACTCCCTAACCATCCTGACATATACAATGTTCCATTATTTTGGAGTCATTAAACCAAGAAAAGTCTGGGGTGCAGCAGTATGGGTGAGTGCACATCTATGGTTAACACAAGAATTGCAATTAACATTAACTACTACATTACTAAAAGTATTCCACAAAGAATGATGTACCTATAACATAGATCGGCATAACTAGCAGTCTGAATCAGATAAGCTGGATCTGTAACACGTCTCTTAGCAGTTCTTCTTCCTATTTGATAGTAGAATGTAAATCATTATACTTAAGCAACAGTATGGTGAATATCTAACATTTTATGCGCTTTTGACCACTACATACTATTCTGTTTTACATTATATGCCCACACATATAAAATAGATAGTGAAAAACAAAACAAGATAAAATTAAACATTGAATGGGGGTGGGGGGAGAGCATATTTTGTCACTTTTAAAATTAGATTTTTGCCTTCTGTTGAAATAAGAAAGAAAATCATTGTTTTTTTGTGTGCAGTGTGCATTGTGGAATGGACATGTCATCCTATGTTATTAACGGTTTATGTGTGTAGATGATGTCATGTTAGCTGTCACTGTAAAATCCAGTAATTCTATATCTGGTTCTACCTTAGTTGCCCTTACAAGCCTAAGTCTCATTAACAGTGATGACTGGAAATTTGCCAAAATACCTGAATAGGTGTCATGTTGTTTTAGAAAACGCTGAAGTCAGCTCAACATGTGGGTTCTTGAAAATTGTTCGGCTGGCCAGTACATTGCATTGTATAATGCTTGCATTTTTATTTTATTTTTTATAATTCTGAACATTATTACAGGCAATTCTATCATTATTTTTTGTAAATCTCGTTTTTATTGTTTCAAGGCATGGGAAAAACAGAATGAAACACAGTGGTGGGCACGCAGGCCCTATAAATGATACACTCATTATTGAGAAATACAGATGTCATGTATTTAGGTAATTCTTAACTTTGTACATTAACTTAAAGTGTTTCCAAGGTCACAAAGCAGAGTGGGGCCTTGGTATGTTTATGTATAACTTTTTGTTGTCGCGTTGTTCCTTTACCTAGTTATATTTTCCAAAATTTCTTTTTTTTTTTTTTTGATCTTTCCTGGAGCTATATGTTGAGCGATCACAGATCATATTTCTATGTTCATATGCTTTTGAGTGCTGGTAAGTGTGGATAGGTGTTCCCCCTTCCATTGGTCAGGTTTGCTAATGTGGACCCTTACTAATATCTAGTCTGTGTATCCAGTGTCGTGGGGCACATGTGCCTAGTGTCCTATGTGAGTTAGTTTGTTCGGTGTTTATACGTGTCCTTCGTTATATTGTCATGTTCTACGTCAGCTGTAGTCTCACTGAGAGTAGAGTAAGCCCTCTCTTGGCAGTAGGGTATGGGTCTGCCTTCTGTGTTGTGGCTTTGCTATAATCTGCACTGTGACACTGATCGGTGGTCTTGGAAGGCGAATGTAGATGGTAGTGTTGAGGTTATTGATAGTATTGGGGGGGTCTTAGTATGCGTCGTCGTTGCAACGTGGTCTACCCTCTGAGATTTCCCCCGTGTCCTCCTTGGCTCGTTGTTCGTGTTGTGTTTACAGTTGTTTTGTGTTATGTTCTTTTCACTGTGCCATGAGCAGTAGCGTAAGTAATATGGGGGGGAAGGGATCAGTCTGGGTCAGGGAGAGAGTAAGGATGGCCTGAGGGGGTGATAGGATAGTTTGGTAAGGTTAAGAGGTGTAGTGGACCAAGGCAGAGGAAAGATAAAGCCCTATACAGTTGGGGTGGTAGACCGATGCACGTGGTCCCCCCGCCAGCCTCGGCATCACCTCCCCCCATGCCCTGTCTGGTGCCTGCTATGTACACATACCACGGGCGCCATCGCTCTGCATGTTTGTCCCCGTGGTTCAATAGTTCCGCTTGTTTCGCTTCTGTGGTGTGGATTTCCTCTACCCTCAGCAGCCATTGAGCGATCATAGGTGAGTTAGGCTGCTTCCAGAGGGCACTAAGGATTTGGCCCCATTGATTAAGTGTCACAGCATCGATTTTTGGAATCGTGAGATGGGCAGTCTCGTCGAGTGTAGTAGTACATTCGCTACATTGAAGTCCAGTGTTTCTCCTAGGATCTCTTCCGTTATGTTTTTAATCTCATTCCAGTATGGTGATATCCTATTGCAGTCCCACCAGATGTGTCGTATGGTCCCTATCCCTGTCCCTCACCTCCTACAGGTGTTAGGTACCGATAGGAATATCCCGAGGAGTAGAGCTGGGGTATGGTACCATTGTGAGAGTAGTTTATAGTTTACCTCTTGATATTTGGAGCTGATTGAGCTTTTATGTTGCAGTAGGATGCAGTTATATTATTTTATCATATTAATGAAACACTCACCCCCATAACAGTTTCAGATTAGTTAAAGTGGATTTTACCATCTGGGAACTTTGTATAATTTGACATCGCTGTTGGGGGTTTCCATGGCCGGTGGGGGTGGGGGCGGAGGCAGGCAAATGTGAGTTTTACTTTTACTGAACCTTAGTGGACCTGAGTATGTACACAGAATATATCTAATAAGGACGTTGCTTTGTGAAAAAAGGGGGGTGTTGCTAAGGGGTAGCGTTTCCCCAGCAAAATGCTGCAAAATTCTCGCACTGCATGAATATAAGACTTAAGTTGAGTTGGTAACTGGAGTATGACTATAGCATTCTTTTAAAATTTGCAAGATGTTCTCATCACAATACCTTGTCTTTGGAAAAATAAGATCTATCTTTCTAGTAAGTAATTTTATAGCCATGAAATTTAACTTTGAAAAATTTATTCAATTTTAATTATTTCTCATTTGCTATTTTCAACACAGTGTGTTTTTGCCAGCAATTTAATAACAGGTAAATGCAGTCTTAATGGGTGCACCCACCCAAATTTAGTTTAATTATGTTTAATTTGAAACCATTCGGTGTATTTTTAAGGGTGTATAATCTTCACAGCTACTTGGTTTTTAAACCTCCGCAAGTCTATTGAATGTGTGCCGAGCTATCAATTTTAAAGCACAAAAGTTAATTGTGTCCCTTCTGTACATAGCTTTCTTTGTGTAAACAGAAAACCTGGAAAACATGATTGTTCTAATTAAGAAAACAGAATCAATTTCCCCCAGATATTTATGAGGCTGATGGCCATGCTAGCTTTGATTGTCGTGTTATAGAGCACCTTGGGAAAACTCCCAACTCACTGAACTGAAAAGTTGCTTAAATGATTCTGAAAAAATCTTCACTAAGATATAAGAAAATGTGACATAGCCAGAAGTAAGCAATTAGTTTAAGTGAAAACCAATTTAACAGACTACAGGAGCTCTTAAAAACTTCTATCGTGCAACAAAATAGAAAAATATTGTTGACTTTAAATTTTTTTCCCCCAAAATAAATTAATAAAAATAATAATAAGGATATCCATTTAAACATAGGTAAACACATTTTGGACAGTAGATTGTAAAAAATAATAGTTTTAGAGAAGAAGTACTGTGGGGGCATCTAAACTGAAGTACCTGTTGGCAGGAATAGAACAGGACAGTTTGGCACTTTTTTGGAGTTTTGGAACTATTTATTACTTTTTCATTTATTACTTTTTTGACCTAACCATTTTTTTATACAGTAACAGCATATTTCTACAAATATAGTATAACAAAACACAAAAAAGATCAATAATATATACTTATCAATAAAACAGAGAACAGCTTCCCACAGAACACCTCCCAAGTAGTGTTACATTTAAACAAGCCGATTAGTATAATATACGTGGGATACAGCTGTTGAACCTAAAATATAATAAATCAGAACATAGCATAATACAGTTGATAAATATATAATAACCCCTGCTAAAGATTGCACTCAAGGGCTTTGAAGTTAAAGGCGCTCTAATGGTGCCTCCCCTAATATTTGGGGGGCTGGTATCTCCCTCTCAGGATCAGGTGTCACCCAGTTTCAGGAACCATACAGGACTCCAAAAGGTGGATCAGTAGAAAAAAAGATTTATTGATCACATTTTAAAAGTAGTGATTAAAAAGCAATTTTGGTC